AAAATGAAGTTCTTTAGCTAATCCAATTGTCACCGAGTTTTGTTTTACACTTAAGACAAATGTTGTGTGCTAAGAAGAACATCACGGTCCTTGCAAATGTCTGAATATAAAGTGTCTGGCTTTTTCGCTGTTGGCCAGTGATGTGTGAGTGTCTGTCGATAACTTGTCCTGATCAACAGTATTTTAGGGCTTTAAGTGCTCCCATACATCCCACACTAATTGCATCTTCTCACCCAGCTTCTGTCAATGACTTGCTAACTGATGTCCCTTCCCTCTGTAATTCTCTCTTAGCTCAAAGTGTAAATCAGTGAGACAGGAGACCTGAACCTTAACACAGGTGAAGTAGGCCAATTGGGCAGTGAATGAAAAGTCAAAGTTGCCATTATTCTCCACTGCTATGGGTTGAAGTTCTAGGTCAGATTCAGTGTCATGACAAAGCTGGTTCCAAATATACTGAAAGAAGTTTGTCAAATAATTCATTCATTCATTATGTAATCACTTTATCCTGGTCAGCGTTGTGGTGGACTGGACCCTATCTCGAAAACACTAGATTACAAGGTGGGAATTCACATATAACGGCAATTTAGAGCAGCCAATTCCCTTACTAGCATGTTTTTGGGAGGTGAGATGAAACTGGAGAACCCATAAAACTCGACTGTTAAATAATAATTTGGTAGGTTCATATATGTATATTGCCATAAGATAAAATGGATATTAAAATGAAACTCAGTTAAGAGCTAGAGAAAATATACAGTATATAACTTTGTCATGACCAAATTAGTTTTCATGATTTTCTAATGTGTCACCCCAGGAAGTGTCATAACACCTTATGACTAAAACTAAACTAAAATCTGTTAGTTGACTCAGATTTCATGACAATTTGACATTATAAAAAAGAACTTATGCAACATTTACAACTGACTTTATATAAATGTCTCTGTATGTTAAAGTCAAGTTATATACATGTGTATATAGGGAAGGCGTGGCTAAGAAGTTAATGCTACTGGGCTAATCATAGCATCAGCAAGCTACTACCACTGGGCCCTCAACTGTAAGTCGCTTTGCATAAAAGCATCAGTAAAATGTAATGTAAGTCAGGTGACAAGAAGAGCTTATGTAAGTATCCTGTATCCCCATGAACACTCCCCTTCTGTCTTCTCATTTCCTAAAGAAGAGCTACATTTCATACATTTTGTAATAAACCTCACACGTAAAATCCGCAAAAGCAAAGCAAGAAAAAAAATCATGATCTAGAGTTACAGTTACTAGCAAACACCAATTATGCTAATGGTTAGTATGATTAACAGCAGTTGGTTTCAGACGTGACCTTAAACAAACAATAGCTGTGAGGATATGACAAATACACAAAGAACTGGCACAGAACGGTAAGACAAGAAAAAGCATTAGACAAAAGGATTGGGGTGGGGTTGTTGGGGTGGGGGGTTGGGGGGTGCAGTGACACCATTTCTTAATGATTGGGATGTAGAGAAGCACAAAGGCCCCCTTCCATATCAAGTATGCAGCATTACTGATTTGTTGCCAGGTAGCGTACCAATTAGCAGCACTTGTTATTATTTACATTTTGCACTATATATCACACTAATCGCCAGATCAATTTATCACTGTGGGGGGAGCTATGGCGCTGATTTATTGGGCTCATGCCGGGAGTCCTGGGGATGGGACTGATGGAAGATGGTGGGAGCAAATAAAAGCTACAAAAGACTGTGTCTGTATCTCCCTCAGGAAAGTCAGTTATTCATACTGTTTATTAGTTCAGCTTACAAATGAATTGAGGTGAAGGACATATATGTTGAATTCTATTTTGTACTCAGTTTCAGTCGCTGTGTGTTTCTGACTTCTAGTCATTGTCTTTGACTTCCTGTTCATCCTACCAGTAAAACAAAATGGTCACTAACTGGGATGAACAGCTTTTGGGCTGCTGATATAACAAGATTGAGGAGTAATAGCTGTTACGGTATGCTACATACCTATTATATTGTTAATAAAAAAAGTAATGAGTCCTCCTAATATTGATGAGGTCCACTATAAAGTTGTTACACTCACTGCACTCACCTACCATGTTTCTCATTAATAAGACTTAAGTGTAAATCTTCCTGAATGATTCTGAAATGGAAATGCTTAAGAGATGGAAAGTACTGATGGATTTGTTCTTCGTTACTTTTACTTTACCTAAGTAGTACTGAAAATGAATACTTGCTATTTGACTGAATTACATTTCCGTGAAAAAAAAAAAAACATTTAAATCCTAACATTTTTATTTAGCTCTTTCAAGAATTTAGTACAAATTTCAAAGATCATGAGATTGCCCAGTGAACAATTCAATCTTTCTGTGTAATTTGATATTATTTAGTAATTAGTTTTAAAAAACACACAGCAAAATCAATACCATTTTGTATGGATCCCATTAATTTTATGCAAGAACTGCCTATATTATTATTATTATTATTATTATTGTTATTATTATTATTATTATTGGTAACAACAACAACAACAACAATAATAAAAATAATCAATTTTAAAAATCTACTTTTTATTTAATCAGCAGAAAAAGGTCTTTTTTTTCCTCAAACAAGACTACTTAATCAAGTTTTTTTTAATCTTTTTATTATTATTACTTACTGAACAGTACTAGAGAAGTAAAAACATTCATAAAAATATAGCATTTAGCATGTGAACAAAATATTCAGATCATTCACGACTTCTAAAAACACATACAAATAAAATAAATTAAATAATGTATTCAAAGTAATGTAAAAAAAAAAACGCATTTGTTTCTGATTAAACCAGTTTGTGGTAGTAGACTGAGACTTGGCACTACTGTATTAAACAGCGGGGTTTCATGGGATTAAAAAAAAAATAAAATAAAATAAGAAAGCTGTTTTCTCTGCTGTCAAGCAGTTCTACAATGTTGAGCTTTGTTGTTACAGCTTTTTTAAGCTGTTATGTTTGAACAGCAGCTGCAGAAAATGTGTCTTATGTGCGACAGTTGTTATATTATTGATATACATAGAGCAGTAGAAGGCACCTTTAGTTTCTGAGCACTGAGACTGGCTGACAGCACAGTGTCCTCCCTCAAAAACAGATCCACGGCAGACGAGACATTGTTAGGAATTCATGTTTCTCATTCTCATCTGTGATGCTCTGTTCTCCAATCAGCCAAAGCTCTCAGATCAATCCAGATCAGCCAGCAGACAGGGGAGAGTGTGAGGGCCGAGAAGAGAAAGCGCTGTCACCCTAGTTTTATGAAGTTTTCTCTCTCCCTGCAAGCGAATGGTAAGAAAGCAATATCCTCCAGCTCTTTTAATCGTGACGCCATGCGGCCCGCTATGCGCTGGTGCTGGGAACCATTGATCAAAGCCAGTGGGTGCCATGATGGGAGAGGGACAGGCCGACATGGACGCAGGGCGAAGTGATTCCCAACAGCATGCCGCTGAGCCATTTGTCAAAGTTTTATCTGATTCCAAGGGTATTGGATCTATCAGTCATTGCGTGTGAAAGGGAGATTGACCCCCAGGTGGACATTTTTCTATATCAGAGCCAGCCTGATGCGTGGCAATGGGTAAGAGGACTCTCAGTGGCTGACACATGTTCCCATTCCAGCCCTCGTTAAGCTCGGCGGCTGTGCGCTGGTTTAATTATGAGTGGGAGAGCTGAGATTTGACTGTTTTCCACATTAGAGTGCTGGTGTGAACTCCAAATGGCTCCTCTCCCCCGAGGTTTAAATTGCTTCTCCTCTGACAAAGCACCTGCCAGGAATTCATCAGCTAGCCCATCAATCTGTCCATCAGTGTGTGCCTCTGCCCTGCCATCAACAGGTAATGTCTGGCTGCTTCGAGTGCATGCTAATGAGAGGAAGAGAAAACATCACACACGCTGTCACACATCATTATGTCACAAATGCATTCTGCTTGGCCGGGGTGTGAGCATGTGTTCATGTGTTTCAAGCCCCTCCTGACTAATGCGTTTAATCTAGATTCCTTTTGAGAATCTGGATATGTCGTCCAGTTGGAATTCAACATAGAGAACACAGCAATTACCGTTCCTACGCGATATGGTGAGCGTTGGTTTGGTTTGGTTTGGTCTCTTTCTTAAAAAAAAGGAGTTAAAAATGATATTTCACTTCAACTGAATGTTAATTACTATGACCAAACAAATGCAAAAATAGGAGCGAAAAGAAAAAAAAAATGTTCTCCCTTCCACACTTCGTGACAAAAGTGACCTTTTTTAGTTTACTCAGGGGCAGTGGTGCTTAATTGGCAGTTAATTATTATTTCTACCCAGTGCATGCAGCATTACTTGGGACAGGTCTCTTATTAGGGGAAAAAAAATTATTACTATAAAACAAGCCATACTGAAATACAACTTTTTAAACTTAATCACAGAGATAAGAAACTCTTGAGAACATATAATAATTGCAAGATATGTAATAAAATGGCTTTGATGTATGTGTATTTTGTGCCTTGCATTTTTTAAGTGGTATTTGTGCAATCTTATGCCTGCAGCCCAATAATTTGTGTTGCTGCCTAAAATACTAAGCTTATTAACTTTTTTTGCAGCTAAACCAAGATAAGACAGGGGTGCTTATTATTGGAAACGAAGCACAAACTACCTATTTTGACTCGCTGCCATCAAAGGGCAAAAAGTGCATCAAGAACAAAAGAATCATTCTTGAAAACAGCCTCAGCCTTAAAAATAACGTAAGTACTGTCTGCAAACTGTGCACAACCATCTACATCATTTCCATAAGGTAGGAAAATTCCCGCCGCCATTTATACACTATCTTATGACAGCTAGACTGCATTTAGCACCCGTTCAGCTAACTCATTTACAACAGGTTCGTAATGCTTCTGCTACTGAATACTTACATTTACGGCATTTTGGCAGACGCTCTTATACAGAGCAACTTACAATTATCTCATTTTAGACATCTGAGCAGTTGAGGGTTAAGGGCTTTGCTCAAGGGCCCAGCAGTGGCAGCTTGGCAGTGCTGGGGATTGAACTTATGACCTTCCGATTACGAGGCCAAAGTCTTAACCACTGAGCTACCACTTCCCCTAATACTTACATTCTTCCTCTACACAAGTCATCACGTCAGGATCATTCAACCCATCATCATCCCAAAGACTGACAGATGGGGTGGATTCATCTCGGAATTCAGGAATTCTGGAATTCTCTACGGGAACATGTACTGTACATGATACTATAGTGTGTATAATGGCAACCTGCAGTGACTGATGTTTTAAGTGTCCTGTCAAAAATGTTTTCTGAAAAGATATTTACAGTAAAAAAAAAAAAAAAACAGTGTGAACCTGTGACTTTACGACAAAACACACATCACATCCAAACTTATGATTAATATAAATATGAAGTAATATATTATAAACTAATATAAATTATTTTTAATGAATTCAATTTAATTTAATTTTATTGTATTTTATTTTTCCCTTAACCCTAGTTTTTCAAAGCAGCATATTTTCATTGTTCATTTTAATCTGTTATAATTGCTCTCTAAAGTACTTAGTAAAATTGTAATAACATATATTAATAATAATAATATATGTTATTAAAATATATAATTATAATAATAATAATAATAATAATAATAATAATAATGATAACAACAACAACAACAACAACAATAATAATAATAATAATAATAATAATAATAATAATGTATACAAGGTTACGCCTCTTTAAATGTTCTCATTTACTGCATGTCAGTATGTGAACCACAGCTGTGCCCATTGTTCTTCACACAGCAGGAACACTCTTGTTACAATTTAAGTTCTCACTTTCTCAAACCCTTTGACAATATCAATATGCCCCCAAGTTTCTTACACACACACACACACACACGCACACTTTTTCTTTTTATCTCTTGCATCCACATTCTCATGCGCATAGACACACACTCACACTTCCATGAGCAAATTTTGATCTGGTGTATCCTATCGGCCATGTCCAGTGCTCTCGGTTAGAAACAAATTTGTTTTTGTTTAATCTTTTTTGCGGCAGATTTGAGGTCTGGAGCATATAAAAGCTGATCGAGAAAATGTTTGCCTTCACATGACTTTACACGCAAACACGTTCATGTGCCTGAAGTCCATAAGCGAATGTGTTCACTTTCGACATGTCCTTGTCCATGTTACAGATCAGACATCAGGCAGTCTGCTAATACCACCCGGCGCTGGATCACAGAGCTCTGCGTAGCAATTTTGCTCGGTCTGATGGGCCTTGTGAGAGTCAGACATGGACATATCGGAAGTGTGTCATAAGAATGAATGAGGCGCTCTCGCATCGGAGCTGCCAAGCTGTCAAGCCCTGGGCAGCCGGCATGACTGACACGCTTTGATTGGTCGATTTAATATAGAGAGGGAGAGACGAGTGAGGAAACTTCACACAGCGCTCACGGAGCAACGATCGAGCGGTGCAAGTCTATTTGTAAAAAGATGTGCAGCACTAACTCTCTAGGTAGGCTGCTTGTTAAAGTTTTTTTTTTTTTTTTTCCTCTCTCTCTCTCTTTACCCCGTTCTTGAGGAATGTGTTAAAGATATTTGCTTTGATGTAGTTTTACCTCAGCTGTGAAGAGTGACAGAGCCACAGGCTGCCTATGCTCTTACCACAGGCTCGGGATCATCTATTTATCCGAGGCTTTATCGACTGCTCGAGCACTCGGCTGTGGATAATCACAGATACACTCCAGGGTTAGGGGCCCTAGTTTCCACACAGGAGAGGTGTAGGCTTGAATCAAGGCTCCAGACTGTGCACTTGGCTCCCTGGGAGAGAAAACAAAATCTTGGTGCGTGAATTTCTCTACAGGAATAACTACAGAATTGCATAGTAATGACAAGGCGAAGCAGAATTTAACGCAGTTACCACTTGTAATTCCATGTTACTACAGATATAGCATTATTGTTTTTTCTCCACTCCAATTTGGAGAGAGATCAATATTCCGCTTTGTTTATCAAAGTGACGGGCTCTCGGATATTGCTTTTTTATGTCGCCTTTATAAGGGGGCATTAAAACACAATATATCTGAGGCTTTTTATGGAGCTGACAGTTGGAGAGGGAGATAGTGTTAATGGCATAAAATGGTTGAAAAATGACACTGCCTCTTATTTATCTGAGCTTATTATGTACAAATATCCATCACAGAGCTGCACTTTTCTGATGCACAATTATGAAGATGCACCCCAGGACAGACTCATCAATAAAATGAGAGGGAATGTAAAGTGTGTGTTTGTGTGTGAGTGTGTTCCTCTGTATATTTATGTGTGTGTTTGAGGGGATATGTAGCACATTTCATATTCAGTCGTTGTATTTCCAAAGTATTTCACTATGCTTTTTGCTTTTCTAATATTACAAATGACCCATTTATTAATTGTAACAATAATTGTTAATAATTGTCTAATAATTGTTCATTATTTTTAATTTAATATTAATACAGATCTCTGTCTTATGAGGGATATATTAAGGTATTTAAATGTATTATTATTATTATTATTATTATTATTATTATTATTATTATTATTATTATTATGCATCTAATCGTTTTGGGTCAACTCATGTAATTTCTTTCCTTTAATTTTAGAAATGTGATCATTTTGACATACACACACACAAACACACACACATATCGGCTATTTAGGCAGATTTCTAACTGTAATGCATAAATGTATGCACACAAATTGACACAATAAGAACACAACAAAACTAGACATAAGCAATGAATGAACGACTAAGATCAGGGAAATAGATAATGCTGTGCAGTACAGTTTTACAAGTAGTGAAGCTATTAGTTTAAGTACATTTTCCAATAGAGAGGTAGTAGCATCATCACTTTTTAAATCAAATCGTGTGTAAGTAATAACCATTTCAGTAGAATCCAGCTACAGCTCTGCGGACCGACGATACGAAGCCCCAGGCGGGAAGGAAGAAGCTCCTGATTAGGCCGAAGTAGCTAACTAACACCCACTGAAATAGTTATTTTAAATTAGCCCACTGTACTGAATATTTAAAACGCAATTACATAACAAAAGCAAAGGTTTGTTTTAATGGCACAGCGTGCTACTGCTGGTGTGATAGATAACAAGTCTATTTATTTATTTATTATTTATTTATTTTAGTAAACTTGTTACCTATCACACCAGCACTAGCATGTAAGGTTAGCTTCATGTTTCATTTACTTCTAGTTAGCTTGCTAATGATATCTAAGTTAGCAATTGGGTAAGATGTTTTAGCTAGCTAAATTTAGATAACATACCTAGCTAACCACTATTAACCACCAAACTAATTTGAACTAAATTTGCTAATTACTTAGCCTGCTGGTTAGCCTGCTGGTTAGCTTTAACCAACCTACTTGTTAACAGATAGCTGTATGAAGGATCAACATATCAACACAACCTATTGCAAAATAATATTAACCTGCTTAGCTAATTTATCGACCAAATAATGGAGTAGTGTTGATTAAAATATTTTTACGCTTTTTATAATGTTTTTAACAGGACACAACTCAAAGTTACTAGCTTTTATTGAGTCTGTACTCTCTGACACTGGGCTGATAATGGGTATTTTTGGTATTTATGTGAAATTAATGTAAATTATTAGCATTTCCAAACAGGTTATCTATGTTTTTATGGTTATCTAGGAGAGCCTTGATGAGTCTGACCTAGTGAACTACACTTTTGAAGGAGTTTGCACAACATTCGACAATGCTTTTGTACTGACAATGGAAATACAGATTGCCCTGATATTCTCCCAGTTTATAGTGTTTAGTGGGAAATCAGAAATATTACGGAGAGGACATACAGTACTGTGCAAAATTCTTAGCCACATGCAAAAAAAAAAAAAAATGCTGTAGAGCAAAGAAGCCTTCAGAAATAATTATATTAAATGTTTCTACATTTAAAAAAATACTATAAAGAGCAATAAACAATAATAAATGAAACAAAGTCAATATCTGGTGTGACGACCCTTTGCTTTAAAAAAACAACAATTGTCTCAGGTACGATTTGTGCAGTTTTATAAGAAAATGAGCTCGTATCTTGCAGAACCAGACACAGTTCTTCTGGAGACTTTGACTGTCACACTTGCTTCTTATTTTTGCAGCAAAACCCAGCAGCCTTTATTATGTTTTTTGGCTGAAAAGTGGTCTCTCATATAATATGCTGCTTTCTTTACTGACTTAATATAAACATTTTTCTGTAACATTTAATTTTGTGCTGGAAAACTAATGTTTGGAAATCTAAAAAGTTTTTGTACTGACTCGATAATGTAGAAGTCATCAAATAAAAATCTAAAAGTTTGTATTAAATAAAATAGGGTCCCTAAGACTTTTGCACAGTACTGTATAAAGAAGTGAGATGTGGATCACAGTGGATGTCTCCTGGACTTTAGAAAATGAAGTCTACTTAACTGGAAATTGAAACAACTAGACAGTACACCAGACGAATAAAAAAGTTATCCTCCTCCTCTCCAATGACCAAAGTCCAAACCAAATGATGCATAAAAGCTAACAAAAATTCATTTTATAGATGCAAAGACTCAGTGTATTTGCTCACCTTCCTCTATAGCCTGTTCAACACACACACACACACACACACGCACACACAATCACAGAAATCCCTAAATCATTTACGTGATGTGCACCAACCAGACAGCTGAGGACATGTACCTGGTGGCCTGTGGCTGTTTTGGAGGAAGACTTTTTTGTCATAATCTGTTTTTCTTTTTTTTTTTTTTCGGTAAACCTCCCCAGAAAGCCGTGGTCTCTCAGGATTGTCTGAAGCAGATTGACAAATGTAACCCTGGGCAAAGCTTCAGATTAGATAATAACTCACAGCTGGCACAGCCTCTGTATCACTTCTGACCGTGGCTGCAGTGTGTGTATTTGTGTGTGTGTGTGTGTCTGAGACAGATGACACATACAACGGCTGTTTTTGGCACTGATATCATGTGGGGTGGAGCCTATCACAGTGCCCTTCACTACTCCCTACTGCCCAGAGCTCACACACAGACACACACATACACACACACACACTATATCACTATCAC